GCTCAGTGAGTAAAGTGCTTGCTGTGCAAGCTGGGCCACCTGAATCTCCAGAACCCACGCAAGAGCTGGGTGCTGTAGCATATAGCTAGAACACCAGAGTACCACCACTGGGAGACCAGAGCAGAGGAGAACTGCCAGGGGCTCCCAGACCAGAAAGCCTGCTGTATTTAGCAGAGAACTTGAGTGACCCTGTCTCAGACAAGGTACAAGGCAAGGACCAACACCTGAGCTTGACCCCTGACCTCCAGACATGCACGCATAAACCCACACTCAAGTACACGAACGTGCATGAAAACACTGTACCCATATCCCTGAAAACAAAGCTATTGCTGAATGTGGGTCCTCTCGTCCAGAGCAGAACCAGGAGCCAAAACAAACCTCTTTCCAACATACCAAATCTGTGATGGCATTGGTTATTAACAGACAAGGAACTAATACACCTTGCTGCGCTATTTTGTTTGTTTTTAACGTTTCTAAGTATTTTCTTTTCTATTGAGAAATTCTGGGAAATGACCACAAAAGTACAGTACAACAAAAAACTGGGACTAGTTTTTTTTTAAACCGAAAATTTCAAATTCTAGAATTGCTTATTTTGAAACTACCTACCAAACAAAATAGGATATAAATAAATAAATAAATAAATAAATAAATAAATAAATAAAGGTCGTGGATGTTCGTGACAATATTAAAACAGCTTACTCCTGTCATGACACCTTCGGGACAAGGTAGGTATGGCTGGTTCTAGTTAAGTTTTTGTTTGTCTGTTTGTCTGTTTGCCTGTTAACAACAACAACAACACAACAAAAGCAACAGCCACCTTAAAAACAAAGGTCAGAGCCCTGCCACCTGCCACCATCCTCACGGCACCAAGTGGCAGGTACTGGGCTGGGCTGAGCTCACTGACCCTACTGCTGCGCCTTATAGCCTGCTGGTTTGTGGGGCACACTTTTGGATGGGGTGGAGGGACACTTCCTTGGGAAAGCAGCCACTGAGCCTCCAGCTGAGTGCAGGCTGCACTTAGAGGAGAGGCTTCTATGCTTCTCTTCATTTGTTTCTTTCTGGTCTTGGCCCTGGCCAGGTTTCTCACTGCCCTCTTTTTGTTCATGGTCTTGCTCTCTATGGGAGGACAAAGTGTTCTTAACTCCGTTAACCAAGAATCTTATTTGTACCAGCAAGGGGACACTTCATTCAGCCCATCAGTTGTATTGTCTCTGCTCTGGTTTCCCTATACTTTCTTCTAAGGCTAGGGGCAAAGTAGGAAGAAACCCCCATCCACCGTGCTGTGTTTTAAGAAAGATTTATTTCCAGACATAATAGAGTATATGCCTTTAATCCCAGCAGAGGCAGGTGGGTTTCTGTGATCCCAAGGCCAGCAGGGTCTACAGAGTAAGCCAGGGCTACATTGGGAGACTTTGTCTGAAAAAAAAAAAAAAAGAAAAGAAAGGAGGGAGAAAAGGAAGGAAGGAAGGAAGTAAAGAAGGAAGGAAAGAATGAAGGAAGGTTTGTTGTGATTTATAATTATTCACAAAACATACTAATAACATGAACCAGCAGAGATAGTTGTGAATACACACTACTCTTGAAAAGGACCTGAATTCAGTTCCCAGCTCCCATGCCAGGTGGTTCACAACCACCTATAACTTCAGTTCCAGGTTATACGACGCCCTCTTCTGGCCTCCACTGGCACCTGTCCTTATGTGAACATGGTTACACACGAGGCACCAGGCACACACACACAATTAAAAATGAGTATTTCTTAAATATAGTAAATCAGTTAAAATGATAAAAAAGAAAGCAAAGACATACAAAGTAGAAGCAACAACAAGCTGTATCCGAATACAGCAGGCTCTCCATGCTCATAGGTTTTCTTGTCAATACTATTGACAAGAAATAGTGCAACAACTATTTGCATATCTTTCACATTGTATGAGATATCATAACTAATTTAGAAATAATTTAAAGTATATCATAAGCTGAACATATATTATATGCAAATATCAATATAAGAGTTGAGCACCTGCCGGGGATTGGTGGCGTACGCCTTTAATCCCAGCACTCGGGAGGCAGAGGCAGGCAGATCTCTGTGAGTTCGAGGCCAGCCTGGTCTACAGAGTGAGTGCCAGGACAGGTTCCAAAGCTACACAGAGAAACCCTGTCTCGGGAAAAAAAAAAAAAAAAGAGTTGAGCACCCATAGACTGTGAGCACCCATAGACTGTGATGTCCATTACATGTCCAGGAACCAACTCCCTGTATATAGTGAAGATATACTTAGGATATTTCATGCCATTAGTCAGTTTAAAGCTAACAGTCAATACATAGGAGTTTGTACTGATGAGTTTTTATCAACGTGACATAAACTAGAGTTACCCAGGAAGAAGTCACTTTAATTGAGTAATTGCCTCCAGCAGGTTTGTGATGACATATCCATGGAACATTTTCTTGATTAATAATTAATGGGGAAGGGCCAAGTCCCCTGTGGGCTATTATTCCTGGGCAAATGGCCCCAGGTTGCAGAAGAAAGCAAGCTGAGCAAGCCATGGGAGCAAGCCAGTAAGCAGCACCCCTCCATGGCCTCTGCTTTGGTTGCTGCCCTGAGTCCCTGTTTTGGTCTCCCTAGATGATGGACTGTAAGTGGCAATCCAAATAAACTGCCCCCCAAGTAATTTTTGGTCAGTGTTTCATCACAACAACAGGGAGGCAAACTAGAATAGAGGTCTTCTTGTTTATAAAATGTAAGAGGGCATTGGTTAAAAAACAACCCAAATCCATAGAAATAGAAAACACAAGGTGAAATTTCTCCAGGGACTGCTGCTGCCCAGGACACTGTGGGGTAGGTGGCTGTAGTTATGCATGGGATTTTAATAGCCTCGGTATAAACGTTTATAAGATTGCTTATACACTATAGCATGAGTTGATAACTTATTAAAACTTAGCAAACATAAATTCTATAGGAGTGAAGACAATGTCAAGTGAATACCCTCCAGATGTAGAACTCACTGCTGACTTGCCTTAATTCCAAAATCTATTTTAGTGTTATTAATGTAAGCCCTTGATTAATGTTCAGAAAATACATACTCCTTTCTCAATTGAACTATCAAGCGTTCAATAGCCCTGTACAGTAATCCCTATCAAATGTGGCTGTATTGAAAGCAGATTTTTCAAGGCATGAAATACTTAGTGTTTCTGTTGCCAATGAGAGATTCAGATAACTACTGAGGCGATATGCCTTTTTAGGGGGGGGGGGTCTCTCAGTTCTTGTCTTTTCCAGGAAAAAAATCAGTGGAGACACACAGTTTAAGCAGTTTACTTAACAAAGCAAGCCAAGATTCCAAGGAGTGAGCTGTCCCACAGAGAAGGGGAGCAGTGTTATAGATTATGCACTGTAAATTTTTCTTTAATTCTTATATTTATGAAGTGGGCATCATACTGGTGGAGTGAAACCGTTCACCAAATGATGGTGAATCCAATCACCTCTTTAGGATACTTCTTCCCTGGATCTTCTTTAGAGGCCAAAGCCACAATGAAAAGGATACTACAGTGAAGCCACTGCCTTTCGAATGCACAGACCCTTCCCTAGTGCACAGATGAGCAAAGACCCCAGTGCCTTAGTTTCTGATATGGTGTGAACAAGCTATCTGCAGCCCCAAGGACAGCTGGCCATCAAGAGCACCCTGGATGTCAGCTGACACAGATAACACTGCACTTTTCTTGGTCTACACTTCTGATTTCCTTTTGAGATTGCCCAAGGTCTTATGACTGATCTCATAACAGTCTGATGGCTAAGACATTTCCTTGCCCCACAGTTAAGACATCTTTTTTTTTTTAACATCGAGACTCTATCATGAAAGTTGGAAGCAGGTATGACAGTTGGATAACGTGGGCTACTTGTGGGATTCCCAGCAGCGGGAACCGGACCTGTCCCTGACACTTTGGCAGGCTTTTGGGAACCTAATCCTCATACTGGGTTGCTTTACCAAGCCTTAATAAGAGGGGAGGAGCTTAGTCCTTACCTCAACTTAATATGTGGTGTTTTGTTGACACCATGGGAGGCCTACAGGTTTCTGAACAGAAACAGATGAGGGATGGGGAGGGGAGGGGAACTGTGATTGGGGTGTAAAATAAATGAATAAATTTAACTAATTTACACATTAGTTAAATTTAACTAATAAAAAACATTTTAAAGTGGGCTGGAGAGATGGCTTAGAGGTTAAGAGCACTGACTGTTCTTCCAGAGGCCCTGAGTTCAATTCCCAGCAACCACATGATGGCTCACAGCCATCTATAATGAGATCTGGTGCCCTCTTCTGGCCTTGCAAGCATACATGCAGACAGAACACTATATACATAATAAATAAATATAGGGGAGGAAAGGAGGGAGAAGGGAACTGGGATTGTCATGTAATTCAATCTTGTTTGTAATTCAAATTTAAAAAGTCAAAAAAAACTTACAGACACAAAAAAAGAAAAAATAAATAAGTCTTAAAACATAAAAAATAAATATTTTAAAGAAAAAAAAACAGAATTTTACAAGAGCTTGTCCAACTGTACAAAGAAAAACCGAACTTGGGCCGTCTTGCAAGACGCAATTCTCTCCACTCCTATCTGCCTTCCACCCAACAGCTCGTGGCTGCCCCCGGAAGAGAGACACACATCTCCAAAGAGAACCCCTTGGCTAACGGAAAGGAATCTTGCTAAGAGGCTCAAGAAGAAGGAATCTTCTTCCTAAGGCTCCCCACCTAGCATCAGTTAGCATCTTGGGAACACATAAGCTCAAAGAAAGGAAAAAGGGAACCGTGAAGAGAAGGGGAAAAACACTGCATTTCATTCTAAGAGCGAGCCGCTGCTCGGACGAGGGGCCCAGCAAAGAGAAGCTGGCGAACCCTCCAGAGCCTTCGCAAAAGGTCACTCCCCGCTGTCTCGCACAACCACACCTGCGCACGCGGCTCTCCTCGCTGGAGGACGCCCTCGGCGCCGAACCGGCCGGACCGCTAGGTGGCACCCGAGGCCCCGCTCCCAGGGAACACTAGTAGTTCCGGGTTGCCCGCCCGCTCCGCTCTAGCCGCCCAGTTTCCGCCTCTCGCCTGCTCTCCGGTGCTGGAGCGGGCCGGGGCGAGCTTCCCGGGACACGTGCGAGCAGGCTCGGCCGCAGGTAAGGCGTGCGCCGCTGGGGTCGCAGCCGAGGGCGGCGGCACAGGGCTCCGCAGGTCCCCAGGTCCTGACGGTTCCGGGAGAGTACTCGGCAGACACCCTGACCTCTCCCCTGCGTCCTGACTGTGGGGAAGTGAACGAGCCAAGAGTGCACTTCTTTAAATCAGGGTTACAACTGGCTGACCACTGTATAGTGATTAAACATTTCATTTTAAATTCAAAATATATATAGATATAGAATGCACTTCATCTCTCCCAGCTCGCCCGCCCCCAGCTCTGTAGTTTTAAAGTGTGGGAGGTGCAGACTGTGTTTGTTACTAGTTTGGTTTTTTGGGTTTTTTTTTTAATGCATTCAAGATGACACTTGGGAAAATAAGTATATGACACCGCCACAGCTTCCATCACCACACCAGACGGCAGAGAAATGTGGGTTGTTCATGATGAGTGGAATGGAGTTACTATAATCTGTTCAGTGGCGTTCGTGCCTGTGACCCAGTACCAGTTTTCAAATGCTCGCCCTGATTAGTTTGCTTTCAAAAACACGTGTGCCTTCCTTGGGTCGTGATTGGGCAGGCACTACGCCTTCGGTTTTGCAGTCTATGGTGGCCTGATAACTGTCTTCATTTACAGGGTGAGAGTCGAGGGACCCGTGGCCTTTTATTTAAATAAAAGCAAAGAAAGGATTCTAGCTGCCTTCCCTACATCAAGCTCAGTGCACCCTGCACTCTGAGGAGCTGAAGAAAGTTTCCTCCCCCAAAAATACACAATGCACATTGCATACAAATCCAGACAGCAGTCAGCCGAGATGAACTCCACACTTTATCGTCACCTTTCAAAAGGAAAAGGCAAACCTAATCCAAAGCCAGTTAGTGAACTAGAATTGATCTTTTAAATCAAATCTAGAGGCTGGGGAGATGGCTCCATGGGTGAAATGCTTACTGTGCAAGTATGGGTACTTGAGTTTGATCCCCAATACCCCCGTTAAAAAAGCAAACGCTGGAGTGGAGACTTTTACTGGGGAGGTCGAGATAAGAGGATCCCCTGAACTCGTTCCTCAGCCAGTCTAGCCAGTCCATGAGCTACAATGAAAAATGTCTCAAAAAATAAGGTAGAGAATAATTGGATGCCTAATGTTAACCACCGACCTACATACACATCCTCACACACGAGTGCCTGCAGACACTGGAATAAATCAGATCCATCAGCAAGATAAGAAACTTGTCTTTTTACGACCAAGAAAAAGAGAGAAATTCTGAATTTTCAGATGTGTGCTCAATGTGTTTTGTTTGACATGTTTAAGTAACTTGCTTTTGCTTCTCATTTTCAACAATTTTTTTCTCCATAACACTGTATTTTTATTTCATTCACATTTAAAGAAGCATGACATTTCAAACGGACTGCTTTGGCTCAGCAGGTAATATTGTTCCATCAGAGGACCCAAGTTGAGTTCCTACCAGCGTCAGGCGGTTCACAACCACCCATGACACCTGGGCAGCAGTTCTAACCTGTGGTTGTGACCCCACGGGTTCATAGATCAGATATTTACATTATGATTCATAACAGTAGCAAAATTACAGTCATGCAGGAGCAACTGAATAATTTTATGGTTTGGGGCCACCACATCATGAGGAACTGTGTTAAAGGGTAGATGCCTTAGGAAGTTTGAGAGCCACTGTTCTAGGGGATGCGACACCATCTTGCCTCCTCAGGCACTGTACCCACAGCACATACTCACACAGATCCACCCACACATAAATTTTTAAAAATTGAAAATTTTACACTATTATGTAACTCCTAGGATTTTATATGAATTAAAATCTAATTGACATGTAAATTATTTGACTTAATGTTGTTTTAAAAACATATCCTTTTCTTTCATAAAATTCTCTCTTTTTTTTTTGTTTTTGTTTTTGTTTTTCGAGACAGGGTTTCTCTGTGTGACTTTGGCACCTATCCTGACACTCGCTCTGGAGACCAGACTGGCCTCGAACTCACAGAGATCCACCTGCCTCTGCCTCCCGAGTGCTGGGATTAAAGGCATGCGTCACCACTGCCCGACCAAAATTGAAACTCTTTAAGAAGCATACTAAGATCTTGCAAAGTCCTAATTTTTTTTCATTTTATTTTATACGTATTTGTGTGTGCCCAGGCTTGCCAGGTGAGAAGACACCATGGAGAGTCAGTTCTCTCCTTCTACTTCCTGAGTTCACGGATCAGACTCATAGAGCAGGCCTGGTAGCAGGCACCTGAAGCTGCTCAGCCATCACTCCAGCCTAATTTTTCCTTTCTTTCCTTTTTATTTAAAGTTAGAGAGGGGCTGAGCGGTGGTGGCGCACGCCTTTAATCCCAGCACTCAGGGGGCAAAGGAAGGCGGATCTCTGTGAGTTCCAGACCAGCGTGGTCTACAGAGCAAGTTCCAAGACAGCCTCCAAAGCTACACAGAGAAACCCTGTCTTGGGGGAAAAAAAGAGAGGGGGGGGGAAGGTAGCAATGTGTCAGTCTTAGGACCAGTGGTTACAGAAAACAGTCCTTTTTAGCCTGCACCCACCCACATACATACATACATACACACACACACACACAGCACAAAATAAATGAATACAATTTTTAAAGATTTTTTTTAAAAGCACCTTCTTTGTTTAAAGAATTTTTTTTAACCAGGTTCCTAGGTTTTAACCATTTACTAGGATATGTGTCTGTTTCTGTGGACAGACACTGAAGTAGCTGTTCTGGAAGTGGGCCTGGGTCAAGGATTGGGGTCTGAAGAGGTTTGTTCTCTTCCTTTGTCATAAAGACTCTGTCGCTTTAAGACGTGGGTTTTGTGGTCTGTGTTGCCATGGATTCTGTTGTGATCTGATGACTGATTATAAATCCCACCTGTGTGCTACATTGCAAGGTGAATATGGAGTTACCTTTGCATCCTGTGATGGCTTTGGCTGTTTCTAAAGAGGCCCTTCCTCTCTTTCCTACCTGTCAGGTTACCAAGGTGCTGGTTCCCCCACCCCCACCCCCTCATCAGGCTTTGTAAATGAAGGTATCATTTCAGGTAATGAGCGCACACAGTTACACCTGAAATTTTATCGAGTAAGGACGAAACATCAGCATGTGTGTCCGTGTGAACACACGAACACCAGCTTTCAAAGAGGTTTAGGGTTCCTTTTTTGAGTTACTGTTTGCTGAGTATCGCTGCCCTACTTCTTTCTCTTCTGAGAAAAGGGAAAGTCAATTTTAGACAGGCAAAGTTCAGAATAGACTAAATGATGGAGCCAGAGTGCAAAGCCAGGTCTCATCCTGTAGCCTCTATTTAAAAATAAAATGATTGGGAATTCAAGATCTACTTTCCTTCTTTTAATGCTGTAGCAAAATGATAGTTCCCAGCCTGCCTTAAAGTATCTCTAGAAATTTTATGCAATTACAATGAAAATTTATATACTGGTAATTGAGCAAAAGAGGGCAAAATGAAAAGAGGTTAGAAACAATTTGTTTTAAACTTGTGCTTGGAAAAAGATTCAAAGTTTTTGGTTTTTGTTTTTCTTTTTTAAAAAGCATACACAGAAACATAGCTGGTTCTGAAGACTTCTAGACATCTGCAAGGCCCCAGGAGGGTTGTGACACTGGTCATTATTTTCTATTCAGATGTTAAACTGGTAATGACATTTCCTCCTGGTAAAATGAAACCCTTATTCTAATAGCACCAGCCCAAGCCCATCTGCAACCACACAGCCACACAAGAGATGGCAGGGAAGTGTGTAACTTAGCCAAGAAAGCTGAGTGAGTCCCAGATTTGGTTGAATGAGGCTTCCGACCTGACTCCTCTCCCCGTGCTAGCCTTTGGGTGGCACTGCCAGCCCAAGATCATCTAGTTGGTTCAAGGTGGCAAATGGTTTGAGGCTAACATTCCACAGGTGGTTTGAGGTCAACTTCTGTTGTGTTTCTGGATGTTGAAATAGCATTAAAACTCTCTTCAAACAAACTAGGGTTATTCCTTGCAAGCACTATTTTGAAATTGTATCAGGTGTGTTACACCTAGTCTTCTCTTTTAACAGGTGTGCAGGACCTCTTCCCTGCAGGTGGCAGGCAGTGTCATTGGCATGCTTACTTCCTCCCACACTCTCCTGGCATTTTTAATTTTGAAGTATTAGTTTGATGGAACCAGACATTGCTTTGCAAGGGTAATGTGCAAAACCCTGAAGAGCTGGTTTATTTTAGCACCCTTCTCCTTGGGAGGTTTTGGTATAATTCACCCATTAGTTTTTTTCAAGATAGATGTATGTCCTATTTATGTTTAAAAGCCAGCTCCTTTTCCTCTTAGCCAAACTGTTTCCCAAATAGTCTTTTAGCCAGCAAGGATTCTCATCTTGGCATGAAAATTTCACATAAATTGGCATATTCTGCCGCCAGTAGCCCATCTATCTGACCTACATGAGATGGCATAGCTAGTCTACCAGAAGCATTCTTCTTATTGTTGATGGTATATATATTTTACTTTTTACTATGTCTGTGTGAATCCATGCCATTTGAGTGTGGTGCCCACAGAGGCCGAAAGAAGGCATCAGATCCCATGGAGCTGGAGTTGCAGGCAGTTGGGGGCAGTCCAACATGGGTGCCATGAACTGAACTTTCTTCTGCAAGAGCAGCAAGCTATTCTCAGAAAGCTAGCCTTCCAGCCTCCAGAAGCATTCTTGATTTTTACACGTCAGTTATGTGGGGTCCGTTCTGTCTGTTAGCTATCATTTTAATGCCCTAGTTATCATTCTTACATCTGTTTCGACATTCTGTACCTCTGAAGAAAATGTTACTGTTGAGCTAGTTTGCATTAAGGCTGATAAATAGCATCATAATTCCTAGGTGACTTTTGTTCAGGGACAACAGATCTTTTGAGCTGATGGTCCTTATTTGAGCTGTTGAATTTTGTTTCTATAAAACTACTGTCTGTTTTTCCCAAATGGCTTTCAGTTGCTAGGCAGAATTCAATCCAGTAACCTAGAGGCCAAATGACCTCATAACTCATTAGCAGTTCTCAGAGCCATCTGGTGCCCTTGAGGAGAACAGTGTTCAAAGGACTGATAATAAAGAGAACAGTATAATTACTTCTCTGCCATGATTACACCTTTAGATGGCAAGCAGTCAGCATATTTATTTGCAGATTGCTTGGGTGGTTGTTTTCTAAAGGTATAATAACAATGCTGTAGCAGAATAACTTGTTCCCCTGTCCCCTTCATGCAGCTTGCAAATAAGTAAACTTGACAACAGGTAAAGAACCTATTGAATCACAAATTGTAAGAAAGTCAATACACCAAAGAAACATAGTACATGACCCCAAAATGTAAAAACCACAGTTGTGAGAAAGAAGTAGCTAGCTATAGAGTAGATATGTCTCAACTCCAGGGCAGATCTTGCCAAAGGTACATGGTAATTCATGGGTGGCTTGCTGTATTTCATTTTCTACAGTGTTTACTAGATAAGTGTAGAATTTCACAAGCTCACCTATTAATCTCCTTTTTTATAGGGAATCTTGTTCCTCACTGCCTTAGAAATGGCTTCAATTTCAGAATACGCACTGCGCATGTCCCGACTCAGTGCCCGGATCTTTGGAGAAGTGGCCAGGCCTACTGATTCAAAGTCCATGAAAGTGGTGAATATGTTCAGTGAGCTTCCCTTGGCCAAAAAGAAAGAGACTTACGACTGGTATCCAAATCACAACACGTATTTTGCGCTCATGGGCACACTGCGTTTCCTTGGCCTTTATAGGTGAGGAGAGGGTAAAAGATACAGCTTTGTGGGAGGGTGTTAGCAGATCAGCAAAGGAAAGCAATTAGCTTGTCTCTGCTTACAGTTTTGTGGCTCTTCTAAGAGAGTCCAGCTGTATCAAAAGATCCAGTGTGGGGAGGTGGGTGTTCTTTCAAAATTGCCTTGATTCATAAACAGGCAACAAACAAAAACATAGCTTGTTAGAATTTTATCTAAAATATAACCAGCATCAAATTGTACTGAGGTATAGAGAGATGTCCAGTTGTTCAGTAATTTAAGGGTGCTCTAAAAAGGATGGGGTAGGATGTGGGCCAAAATGATGAGGGCTAAAACCCCACAAGCACCCTGGTTGCCAGAGCTGCTGGTTCTTGGTACAGAAGAACAGAACCTGCCCCACACATACCTGCTTCTTATTGGGTATGCATGCAGGAGCCTCCACACTCTGCAGGTGACGGTCTATTGACGTCCTTACTCCTCCCACTCGATTCTGGCATTTTTGTGTCTTTGATATATTAATTTGGCTTGGATAAGCTGTAGTTCACTTTTAATGGTAACTAATAAATTGCATAACTCTTAATAACGTATGTTTGGTAGGTCTAAGAAGTGAGTGCTTAACACCTTTGTGGGAAAAGAAAAAGAATAAAATACCTAGATGGTCATTTTCTTTTAAAAAAAATTTTCAAGATAACATGTTTTCATTGGACCTAGCTATTAACGTGGGACCATTCATTGTAATTTAAAATAAATAGCACAGCATGATACTCATTCCAGAGAGGTAAAGGTTGGTACGTTAATTTATCCAACATATATTTTTAAGTTCTTTCCATGTACAGGTATTAAAGATGGACAAGGAACAACAGTGAACAAAACAAATGGATACTCTAAGTTAATATATCACTGGAGAGTATAATGTATGGCCTACTTTTGAGTGTCTGGAATTGCTAGGGACTATCTCTATAGTCTCTTAGTCGTGACTCAGAAAAATAAAACCTAATTTTATTATGATCCAGAATAAATATCAGAAGCTAGATCCCATGGAAGGTTATAACCCCTAACAAAATCACATTCGAATATTTTAATATGTCTGCTTGATAGTGTTCTTCATTTATTTGACAAACAAAGACCTAGCTATCTTTGGAGAAAAGAGAAAAAAAATACTAAGCACTTGGTTGTTCATTGAGAAGCAAAATTATTTTTATGTGTTTAGTCAGTAGTTATGGTAAATGATGCCTCCGATGCATGGCTCTCTCTGTAGCATCAGACACGGTGAATGTAGACAACCCTTCAATAAAGTCTGATGCAAAGGCCTGCAAAAGAGGGAGGGGAATATAATCAACCAAAACAGCTGATTCACTCAGTTAACGAGCTGCTGTCTCTGCTAGCAGCCTTTGTAGAGTTTTCTGTCTGATGGTGGACATAAGCAGGAGGGAATGAAGAATGGGAGAATGGTATAATAAATAATACGGTGTGTTTTGTGAGTGTTGAACATGCTGTGGGGGTTGGTGCAGAACTTGCTGAGCAGGATCCAGAGTGCTGACAGGGCCTGTGGTGATGAGGAGAACGGGCATGGTGACAGCCTTAAACAGGGCAGTCAGGGTCAGCCCCATAGAGGAGAGTAAGGTTTAGGCTGAGGCTCATGGGTAGTGAGTAAACCCCGTGAAACCTGAAGAGGAGCTTGTGGGACAGAAGCAAGAGTGAGCAAATGCCACTTTTCCTGAGGCTGGAGTGTGCCTGCAATGACCCAGGAATAGTTTGGGCTAAGGGAAAAACAGGGAGACAGGGGGCAGGTCACAGAGGTCTCATTGCTGTGGTAAATAACGGGGCTTTTGCCCTGGGCAACAGAGTTTGAACAACATAATCTGACATCTACTTTGTATGAGTTATTATGGTTATGTTAAGAATTATTTATGATTCATAGCTATTCCCAATGAGGTCTATGCTGTATTGTCCTTCATGTTCATAGAACAAGATATCAAATTCCTTAAAAATCAATCCTTAAAAAAAAGGTTAGTTGGTCCCAGCAAAGCATCCTTTTTATATATATTTAGTCCATTTTATTCAATCCATTAAATAATGTATATTCAATCCATAAGCCATTATTGTTCCCTGTTACAGATGAGGAAACTAAGATGCAGAGAGCCAGGTTACAGAAAGTTAACAGAGCTAGTGTCTGGTGGAGCTGTGTTTTAGAGCCAGATTTACATGGATTCCATAGCTTACATGTGCAAGCACTTTCTTTGGGTATTTAGCCTTAGGATGTAGACATTTTAACACAGTGCAGCCGTCTTCACCTTCTGCACTGTCCACGTGTATAATTAGTCCTGGCCGCTGTGACTCCTGAAAGGTCTGTCTGGATTTGCTGTCCATCTGTTTGAGCCTCCAGCAGCCTTTCTGTGTGGGCATTCACTGCCGTTCAGGCTGTCCTGGAGAACTGCCCGTTTTTAAGTTGATGCTAAATCCCAGGGCAGTCAGGATATCTGTGCAGTTACTGAAAATTATACTCAAGTTTTGTTTTGTTTTGAGACAGGGTTTCTCTGTGTGTCCCTGGCTGACCTGGAACTCACAAAGATCCACCAGCTGTTGTCCAAGTTTTATTCCTCTCGATATTTAGTCTTTTTAGTTTTTTGTTTTTGTTTTTGTTTTTGTTTTTCATATTGGGACTCTAACACAAGTTACTTATCCTTCATATAGGAAAATGTTGGGTAGTGTATCTCATAGTTACATAGGTTTACCTGGGCTCACCTGGAAGTTTACTACTCTTTGTGGTACTGTGTCTTTGAAAGAAAACTACCTAAATTCTTAGGACCCAACCAGCCTATATGTTGGGTATACTTCCTGTTCACCCAACTAAGCACATGCCTTGAAAAGCCATGCTCAACAGCATAAGAGAGCAGCTCTAGACAGGCACTTCTCTGGTTGATTTTTTTCTTTTCTTTTTCCTTCTTCCAGAGATGAGCATCAGGATTTCATGGATGAGCAAAGACGACTAAAGAAGCTCCGTGGAAAGGAGAAACCAAGGAAAGGAGAAGGGAAAAGAGCTACAAAAAAAAAGAAATAGAATAAGCTCATCAAGGAAGAAAATTGCTTCCTCGATGATTAAGAAAGTGTATCTCGCTATCTTTTCACATATTAGAGGAACACAACCTTCCTCAGTAGACATCAACCCCATGTTCTCATCCACTTCAATTAAGCTGTGATGGTTTCTTGAAGATATTCTAATTCTTCAAACCTTATTTGCCTTGGTTTTGTAATGTGGCATTTACCTAATTCTCTAATGGAATGAATAAACAATTGTTCAGTGATTTGTTTAAGATGGGAATGGGATATTGGGAGTGGGGCAGGGAGAGAACTCACTTAATGAGTATCCTATACTTCCCTTATTCCTCATTGCTTCCCCAGGACCCAGCCCAGCCTTCCTCTCTCTGACCATTCAGCCTTGTCTTCCTTCACCTTCCAGCTCACTCTTCTGAAGGTGACTACATGAGATTAAAAGCTTTTTAGAAAAGGAAGTATTGAATGCCTACTTTTATCGAAGCCTCGGTAATAGAGTGATAGTTTCTAGCTCATGGAACTTTTAAGTCTTATAAAAGAGACTGATATAACGCATATATTTAATACAATTGTAAGTTTCATTTATCTGTAATTGTATTAAATGCTGAGAAGAAAACTCCTTTTGAGATGGCAAGTGGATGGATAAATGAAAATATTGGCAAAACCACATTAAGAAATTTAGAGACTTTCCTAAAGAAAAAAGAAATTATATTTAAGCTGAAGACATAGGATAAATAGAAAGATAATGAGGAAAGTATTTGAAGTGAAGAAAGATTGAAAAGCCTTAAGGCAAGAAGAAATTCTTGGCCTGGTAGTAGTGGTGCACACCTTTAATCCCAGCACTCAGGAGGCAGAGGCAGGTGGAGCTCTGAGTTCAAAGCCAGTCTGGTCTGCAAAGCAAGTTCCAGGATAGCCAGGGATATACAAAGAAACCCTGCCTGGAACCGAAAAATTAAAATAATTTTTGGTCCAAAAATTGGAAACAGACCACTGACCAGCTCATGTTTAACCATCAGGACATAGACAGGCCAGGCAAGTTCTATGACCTGGTGACACTTAGGAAACTTAGGCGAGGTTGAGGCCAACCTGGACAATTGAACAAAGTACAGAAGCAAGAGTAGACATAGCAGCTGCTTTAGATCCGATTTTCTTTCCCTGAACATTGAATGCGCCCTGGACTAGTAAGAACTCGGTGTGTGTGTTTAGACAAATGTTATTTTTAAACATGCATAATCCAGATGCTATGGCTAGTGCTTATATAGCCTGGGGGAGGGGAGTGTACTTAAAATTGGGTGATTTGTGTCTTATAGAGTTGTTCTCAAACAGAAGGTTCAGAATCCGTTCATTTAACGCTTTCTACTGAGTACCTGCCATATGCCTGACTCATAATAGTTGTGAGGTGATAGGATGAATAGATTCGGTCTCTCTGAGACTGTGTGAGTGAGTGAGAGCTGCTGCTGTTACAAAGTAATGGTGAGAGCTCAGAAGTACATCTGGCAGAGTGGCTGAACCTGGGCAGGTGCTGAAGTGGAAAATCGCCAGAGCCTGAGCTTGGGATAGCTGTGACCATTCTCCAGCTTTAAAGAAGCCCCAGGGCTGACGCCATGGCCCAACAGCTAAGAGTACTTGTTTTGCAGAGGACCTGGGTTTTGCTCTCAGCACCCACATGTTGACTCACAACTATCTGTAACTCCAGTTTGAGGGGATTGAGTGCCCTCGGGGGTCACCAGATACACGCATGGGACACACACACACATAGACAAAACACCCGCACCCACAGATTAGCTTCAGCAATTTTAAAGAAGCCTGAACCAAGGAGGAACCAAGAAGACATAAGAGGAGGTGTCAGCAGATAACTGCAATAGACGCTAACCACAGAGCTCACGCAAAAAGCAGAATCTCTCCTGGTTAACTAGTTGAAGAGCGTCAGCAGCTCAGGCTGCAGGGAACCTTAGCCATGGCTGCCTCGGAATTGGTAGTTATCCCTCTGGTGGTTTGAACAATGGCCCTGATGGGCTCATATATTTGAATCCATGGTCACCAGGGAATGAAACTGTTTGAAAGAATTAGGAGGTGTGGCCGAGGTGGAGGAACTATGTCACTGGCAGTAGGCTTTGAGGTCTCTAAAGCCCATGCCAGGCCCAGCTCGCTCTCCCTCTGCCTGCAGATCAGGATGTAGTTCTCAGCAGCGGTTCCAGCACTGTCCATGCCACCAAACTCGCCACCATGATGATGGACTAAACCTGATAATATAAGCAAGCCCCCAGTCAAATGCTTTCTTGTATAAGAGTTGCCTTGGTCATGGTGTCTCTTAACAGCAATACAACAGTGACTAAGACAACCCCACAGTAGATCAGTGTGCAGCCCACACAAGCTGAAAACCGGAAACAAGCTAGGATTTACTTGCACATAAACTGCCCAAAACACAACCATTGGAGTAAACACCCTGCAACTCAAGACAGCCTACAGTGAATTGCTGCAAACCCACTGAGAGGTAGGTTGGGAAGGAAGAATTAACTAGATGCCATAGGAGGCAATGCAATTCAAGACTATGGCCAAGGTACAGTAAGAATAAATGCAATGGGGCTGGGGGGATCAACTTTAGACTTAGACTAACTACATTGCTATCATTTGATTTCTTGTCAAAACCTGAACTATTTGTGTTTTTCTTCTAATGTTTGGTACTTAGTGTGCATAGAGGATTTTACCATGGATTCTGGTATAGTGTAAAAAGGCTGAGTTTTGCATTCAAAACTCGAGAGGCTATAATGTGGTTTGCTTACTGTAGCCCTTTGGTACTTTCCTGAGCCTCTTTGTAAAATCATGATGATCTTTTACTAGATTAAGGGCCTAGAAAGATGGTTCTGTAGTTAAGAGCACTTGGTGGTGGTGGCACACACCTTTAATCTCTGCACTTGCGAGGCAGAGATGTCAACATAATGAGTTCTAGGCCAACCCAGACTATACAGAGAGCCTGTCTCAAAAAGCAGCATATACACTCATATGTACATATACATATTTGCATATATGTACTGCAATGCTTTTACTTATACTGCATCTTCTAAGATTAAAAAAAAAGTAAAACTTAAATTCCACTTTCCCTCTTTCTTCACATATTTTTCACTAATGCCCCTAAAGTTACTAAATTTAAAGCTCAATCTGAGATGGAGCTAAGAAAAAAACTTCAGGAACAATAGATAACATAACACATGTGTTAGTTGGGTGGCGGCAGCACACGTCTTTGATCCAAGCACTTTAGAGACAGAAGCAAATGGAACTCTGAGTTTGAGACCAGCCAGAGCTGTTATACAGAGAAACCCTGTCTCAAAAAATCTTTTAACCTTTCAATCCTGTCTTCCTTTTTTTTTTCCTTTTCTTTCTTTTTTTTTTTTTCCCCCGTAAGAGGTGAGTGTAAAAGGACTTTCTTTAGTCCTAGCACTCAGGAGGCAGAAACAGTCTGAGTTTGAGCCCAGCCTGGTCTACATAGTAAATTCCAGGCCAGCCGGGGCTACATAAAACCCTATTTAAAATAAATAAATAATAAATAAATCTTTGTAAAAATGAGACAGAAAACTACTGAATGGCCTATTGAGAATAAAAACAGGGCTGAAGAGATCTCAGAAGTTAAGAACACAGACCTTTCTTCCAGAAGGCCTGAGTTCAATCCCCAGAATCCACATAGTGACTCACAACCTTCTGTAATCCAGTTCCAGGGGATGACACCCCCCTCCTGGCCTCTACAAGCACCAGGCACACACACAGTACACAGACATACATGTTCAGAAAATACATAAAAATAAATAGAATTAAAACAATTCTAAAGAACAATCGAGGCTGGGCGTTTGGGCGTTGGTGGCGCACGCCTTTAATCCCAGCACTCAGGAGGCAGAGGCAGGCAGATCTCTGTGAGTTCAAGGCCAGTCTGGTCTCCAGAGCGAGTGCCAGGATAGGCTCCAAAGCCACAGAGAAACCCTGTCTCAAAAAGCCAAAAAAAAAAAAGAAAAAAAGAAAGAAAGAAAGAAAGTTTTGGAGAAGACACTAAAACTAATCTAAAAGGCTCCTGTCTCAGTCTTCTTGAGGACTGGCCAATGCATTATAAGCACCAAACTAGTTACAAACACAGTAATGCAAATACTTAATAAAGGGTTATGGAGATAGGAGAGGATTTTGCCTTGCATAGGAATGAGCTCCTAAGCATTGGAAACAATGAGCACAAGGGTGCCAACATTCTTACAGCACTTGTCACGCACAGGACGGTGTGTATTGTAGATCCTATCTCACCAACCCTCCCTTCGTTCCAACATAAGTATCCCCATTTTAGAAGAGTCTGAGGCTTAGACCTTAATGCCCAGGATCAGACATCTACAAACACCTAGACAATTTAAAATCCTTGATCACCAGACTCATTTTTCACAAGCATAAAGAAAGTTTAACATAAACAGCATGCACAAGATGTCACCATGAAATATTAGTGAGTGACGTAAAGAGCGTGGTCTGTCAATCTCAGAATCACAACCTCGATGAATCAATACCTGCATGTCAATTCCCCGGTGTACATTTGGTTGTTTGGTTCTGCAGTGATGAGGCTGGTAGCCAGGGTCTTGATAATAGGCCAATGCTCTGCTGCCAAGCTACTCCATGGCCCATGTTCTCTTATGACCTAATGTCTGTAGCTCTGATCTTTGAAGGTCAGAGCAATCATTTGTCAAGCTCTACCATTTGCTAGGTACTCCACAGTTCTCTAAAACTGTGTCACTTGGTCTCTACAACAGCCCCATGGCTATTGTGGTCTCATTTTATACAAGAACTTAATTTTGGAGCTATGGCTGTGAATCCTGGCTATATGGGATAAGCTGAAAGATCCTGTCTGTCCCTGGTACTATTCCAGACCAGTCAGAGTTGGAGCAGGAACAAGGCATTAGCTAAGGCATTCGTGTTTGAAAATGGCTTGCTTTTATCTTGTGAGGTTTTTCTTGTCCCTTGTTTTTCCTATGCTTATTTTTCTTTGAAAGGCCAGTTCAACATGGCTTAGTTATCAGCTTCTGGTTCAACCTATTAGAGTCTGACACCCCGCAATTTATTTTAAGCATATTTAAGTACAGTACAATTTTGGAAAAATGGTTTTCTCGTAACCATTACCTCAGTTCCCTGTGCACAATAAAGCTTGAGGTGTTACTACATCAAAATTCTTTTGCAATGTACATGTGACCTCTACCATGAAGATGGGTTCTGTAGCTTAAGGGCCCAGGTCTCTAACTGAGATAGCACAGAGGTCACCAGGCTGTGAAGTACAGGTAACATCTCCCCATAAGGACTGCATCAAAGACCTCACACACATGCCAGACAAGTACTTTCCACTGAGTTACACCCAACCCCTGCACTGTCGCTTTAAATAGCTCCTTAAGTTGCTCTGCTGTGCATCCAAAGCTAAGAAATAACACTGAACTTGGGCGT